CCTGAATGCGTTTCTTCGAACGGAACAAAAATAATATCAGGCTCTTCTATCTGAATATAAGTTTATCCAGAAACCCACAAAACATCGAAAAATCGAGTTTAAATGCGGTAGCTATGCGTAACAAAAATGAGTGCGCAAAGAGTTTCCGTGCGCAAAGTAATAACTTTGCGCACGCAAGTAGAAATTTTTTTTTTAAATCTTAAATAGTAAATGCTGTGGGTATGGTGCCAAATATAATCAAATACCCTGTACCAGAGACCGACACTCGACACTGGCCCGCTCGCGTTCGCGGCTATTCCCACACAGAAAGATTCAGAGCGAGCGTGCGCGCACAGTTGTTTACACTAGAGCATTCGCGGTCGCTCAGTGCGTAGGTGCTCAAGTCTAAACGCACCTTAAGAATCGAAATCATTTTTCTTCCTTATTTAGGAACTTTTTGTTTTCTTATAGTTTTTTCGTATCACCAACCCTTATCGACAAAAAAATTAAAAAACAAATCTCTGTAAATACCTAGATGAAACTAAAGTGACTCAATAACCCTTTTCTGCCTGTCAGTGGCGACAATAGAGGTCCCGCAGCCATATTCTTGTTCATTTTCAATGGGAATCTAGAAGTAAGACACCTCTCGCCGCCATATTCTTACTCGTTTTCAATATGAATACGAATAACAATAAATAACGAAGCGTTTGCGGACCCATGTTTATTAGAAATTTTAGTCATAAAATAAACCAAAGAATCACCCCTTTTCGTTTGTACATGATATTTAGGAACACCTTGTATATTTGGAATCAAGAAGAAAAAATATTTCATTTTATAGCAAAATATACAGGGTGTTCCATTAAAAAAAGTCGAAGTTGTCTACGTTTCTCCATTTTTTGATGCGATTATGTTTTTTTTGATAACGTTAAAAGAAAATATAGTGAAAAACTGTCAAGTTTTGTATTTAAAATTTTTTTCTATCTTAAATAGTAAAGGCTGTAAGTATGGGTCCAAATATAATCAAATCCCCTGTACATCATTTTGGAGGGTTTTTAATTCCATACATTTTGAACTAAATTTTAATACCTAAGTTCAGCTGTTTTGGAAATATTGACAGTTGAAAATTGACTTTTTTACACCTTTGACAGGCTGTAAAACCTAAATGATTAATTTTAGAGAAAAACCAATCTCACATTCTTGTCTTATGGCGTTTCCGATTGGTAGATTCAGTGCGTACTGAGTGTATTTGCATCCTTTTAATCGACCTGTAGAAGAAAAAGACAGAAATAGAAAAAATTACACTAGTTCCGCACTAGACTACCAATCAGAAACTCCATTAGATTTTCATAAACTATCATTTGACAGCAACTTTGAATTTAATCCATGATCAGAAATTCCGGTCAAAAATTTATTCTCCGGTTAAATTCAAAGTTGGTGTTAAATGATAGTTTTTTGAAAATTTAAGATAAGAATGTAAGATCGGTTTTCCTCGAAAATTAATTTTTTAGGTTTTAGAGCCTGTCAAAGTAGCAAAAAAGTCAATTTTCAACTATCAATATTTCCAAAACAGTTGAACTTAAGGATTAAAATTTAGTACCAAAATGTATGGAATTGAAAACCCACCAAAATGATGTATCACTTTACTCCCCTTCCCATTTAAAGGAGGTGTGACCCCTTAGACCATAAAAAACGACTTAAGCTATTCAAATGAAGAAAAAAATTCTTAGATCTCTCGTGAAAACCTCAGTCCTATATTCGAAATAGTCTCCGAGAAAATTCCTTGTATTATGCAGGAACTTGTGATGTCACAACTGCCGCACAATCGCAGTCTTCTATTCGTTCGGTCGTCAGTGAACCGTACCCTATACTTTGTGTGGTCGCAATTCGCTCTAGGAAATAATTGTCTTTCGTTTTGGAAATTTCTTACACGTTTTAATACTATCCCTGATAATCCGTTGTAACTTTAAACCGCCCTAACTCGAAAACGGACCATAGTAGCAAGATGCGGTTTAAATATTTATTCTTGGATTTTTTGGCACTAAAACTTCCATTTTTAGATCACACCCCCTTTAAGATTTTCTAGGGGGTGGCTCTGGGGGCTGGGGAGTTGAAAGGGAGGAGGTGAATTTTGCATCCTCATCCCCCCTCGAATTATAGTTGCCGTGTTTCAGAAATTTTTTCGAAAATTTTTCAATTTCGAGATAAAGGGATAGTAGGTTTTAAAATGAACACCCTGTATACAAGAACATATTGCGATAACATTAACAATATTATCAACAAAAATTTACGAGATAATGTATGTTGTAGGATACATAAAAACATGCTCGCTTTCAAATATGAAATAAAAAATCGGGTATTCTATTTAAAAAAACAGAGATGTACGTCATAACTCTTTTGTTTCTGGGTCAATTGTTTTTCAAGTAAAATCTTCAAATTCTACGAAAAAAGTTACATCTAAAGTCTGTTTTTTTTTTTAAAGATAAAAGCGAGGATAAAAGTCAAAATGACATTAGGTTAGCAATACAATGTAAAATGATCAATGCTTCAAATTTTTTATATAGAAAAGGCTTGTGTTACCAACATAGTTACTAAATTTTTGACTTGGGGAAGAAAAAAAAACAAACTTTAACTGCTATCTTCGTTTTCTTCAAAACTACAGGGAAAGTCAAAATTAAGTCCCTGTTCAGTCTTCGTTGTACCTTCTAAAATACTGTATGTGGCTCTGTGTCATTTGCGCGAGGGACAAAAGCGCGATACAAAAAACGCGAGGGACAAACGCGCAATGGAACAAAAGCGAGATGGACAAAAACGCGACTGGATGAAAGCGCGAGGAACAAAAGCGCGAGGGACAAAAGTGCGACGGAACAAAAACGCGAATGACAAAAGCGCGACGGAACAAAAACGCGAATGACAAAAGCGCGACGAAACAAAAGCGCGACGGAACAAAAACGCGAATGACAAAAGTGCGACGGAACAAAAACGCGACTGGAATGAAGCACGATGGACAAAAACGCGACTGGTTAAAAGAGCCAGCGAGAGAATCAAAGGGCGAAGGACAAAAGCGCGATGGAACAAAAACGCGAGAGACAAAAGCGCGACTGGAATAAAGCGCGATTGGCCAAGAACGCGAAGTGCCTAACTATCGACGAGGACTAAAGATCACTTCCCAAAATGCAAGATATTTTCGGTGGCTCCAGTTCAAAAGAACAATATTTGAAATAGCGACATCAAAAAGGCGACATATTGTTCTAGCGATATATCAAAATAGCGACATTCAAAACAGTGATTTATTAAAATAGGGACATTTAAAACAGCGACATTTAGAAAAACAGTGGCATATCAGGAGAGCGACATTCGAAAGCCCGATACTTGAAACAACGACATTGCAAAGGAGCGGCATATGTAAAGAACGAGATTTAAAACAGCGACATATTAAAATAGCGATCTCTAAACAAAAGAGGGACACATCAAATTGAATCGATAATAATTGAAAAAATGCAGACTTTGTCAAACTAACCCGTCCGCCTAGTGCGATCTAGGCCTCGTAAGTTAGCATTTTATTTGAAAAACAAATCGCGCTCAAGAGACGCTACGCTATAAGTAAATTAAGTTTTTTTTTTTTTTTTTAATAAACTGCTTATGAGAAGTAGATCGCACTAGGCGGACGGGTTATTTCGGGTTAGTTTGAGTAAGTCTCCATGGCGATATCAATTTGAACCAATAATAATCAAGAAAATGCAGTCTTACTCAAACTAGCCCAAAATAAACCGTCCACCTAGTGCGATCTAATCCTCATAAGTTAGCATTTCATTTGAAAAACAAAGCGTGCTCAAATGCCGCTACGCTATAACTTAATCAATTTGGTTTTTTATAAATAAAATGCGAATTTACGAGGACTAGATCACACAAGGCGAACGGGTTATTTTGGTTTAGTGTGCATTTTCTTGATTACTATTGATTCAAATTAATATATCGTCAATAATAAACAGTCAATTTATTTATAGCGTAGCGTCCCTTGACCGCGCCTTGTTTCTAAAAAAAAATGCTAACTTACGAGGACTAAATCGCAGTAGGCGAACAGGTTAGTTTGGGTTAGTTTGAGTAACTCTGCATTTTTTTGATTATTATTTAAACAATTTGATGGGTCCCTCTGAATATCGCTCTTTTAATATGTCGTTGTTTTAAATCTCGTTCTTAGCATATGTTGCTCTTCTGCAATGTCGCTGTTTTAAGTTTCGCGCTTTCGAATGTCGCTCTTTTGATATGTCGCTGTTTTTTTTTACATGTCGCTGTTTTGAATGTTGCTATTTTAATAAGTCGCTGTTTAGAATGTCGCTATTTTGATATATTGCTTTAACAATATGTCGCCATTCTGATGCCGCTATTTTAAATATCGCTCTTTTGAACCGGAGCCACCGAAATAGTCTTGTATTTTGGAAAGCGTTCTATAGTCCTCGTAGATACTTAGGCACCTCGCTTATTGTTCAATCGCGCTTTATTCCATCAGTCGCATTTTTGTTCCGTCGCGCTTTTGTTTCCCGCGCTTTTATCGAGTCGCGTTTATGTTCGTCGCGCTTCTGTTCCTCGTGTTTTTGTTCCGTCGCACTTTTGTCCTTCGCGCCTCTGTTCCTCGCGCTTTTATCCAGTCGCGTTTTTGTCCATTGCACTTTTGTCTTGTCGCGTTTTTGTTTCGTCGCGCTTTTGTCCCTCGCGTTTCTAGTATCGCACTCTTCTCCCTCGCACAAACGGCTATCGCGCAAATGACACAGAGCCACTGTATGCAACATAGACTAATAAAATAAATTCTTATAAAAGAAATTAGGGTTATTTCATGTAAAAATAAATATGTAGTAAGAAACTAAGAAATACATAGGTAGGTAAGTAAGTAAGTTTGGGATTTTTTTTGTACAAAAATTAAAAAAATATTTACATATACAGCCAAACACCCTACATAAGATAATAAATTCTGCAATTCCTACAATTTGACTGTTGTTATTTTGAAAATAAATTTTTTGTTCTAGTTCTATCTAGTTGTAGCCTTTTCGGTCCTTATAACCGTAAAAGCCAGCCCCATCTTGCAACCAATATCAGCACCGATAGCTGTAGCCCATGCACCAGTCGTGAGAGCCGAACCCTATAACGCTCACCCTCAATACAAATTTGAATATGGAGTTAGCGTAAGTAATAAGCATAACCGGATTCATGTACCTTTAGTATCAGATATCAGACACACATGGCATCTGCTCTGCCCCCTGCCCAGCTTGAAATTTTTTATTTTTTTTTATTTATAGGAAAACCCCATTCTTACAGAGCACTCAATACCTGGTAAAAACGTTGGTCAAGTTTCTTAGTTTCTTGCCAGCATGATTATTATAAAAAGTTAATATAAGAGGACCCCATTTATTTTGGCATTTTTCAAAATATCCTGTCTAGTGGATTGGAGTAGGCCAATTACCATAGCAGATCGGAGAGTCTCCAAAGAACAAACTTTTAACTATTTAGCATGTTTAAACAATTAATTAGGCTGTTCAAGCGAAGTAATAACATAATCAATAGACAAGTTTTAAATTCATTAAATGGTAGCTAATAGTATTTAATTACATAAAAGGAAAAGTTATAAAATGGACTACATATTACATATTTAAATAATTTAAGTCCATTATCATGTTTTCAATGGACGTCACGTCATGCAATATAAAAATACAGGAATTATCTCATCAAAAAATTCTGTCTATAAAAACGGTATCGATACTTTTAATTTACAGTTGTCAGAAAAAATTTTCTCGGAAAATCGTCACTATTCAAATGGATGCCAAAACACATTTCTTGAAAACTGAAAAGGCAATAGTATCTGCGTCAAGTTCCTTAACATTACCTAAACGTGTACAGGGTGTGACAATTTGGACACTTTTAATAGGAAGCGAGCTCTGTTTGTGCCAAATTTACCGATAAAAATTTTAATATCAGGTTTATTCTTGCTAATAGCTATTTGAGAATAAAATTAAAATCCGTTTTTGTAATCAGTATTAAAAAAGGACTTTCGTGTAGGGCAAATGAGAAAGATTTCTTTTTAACACATCGTCTCTTATGATCAGAAACGGATATAATTTCTTTTCTCGAAAAGATAAACCTTTCTAACATCATCAGCATTGAAATTGACACAAACAATGAAATTATCAATATACAAGATGTGCTATGTGAAAAAATTGGAATTTTGTCAATATTTCAAACTGAGGTCAACTAAAAAAAATCGGAATACGTCACTAGATTCTGCTCAAAATCCTGATTCGCAAAAGTTAAAAGTGCTTATTTTGCATAAACATAATGATACTTCCAGGACCCACACACTGGTGACCAAAAATCCCAAGAAGAAGTCCGAGACGGTGACGTGGTCAGAGGCTCCTATTCTCTAGTGGAACCGGATGGCTCGAAACGTCGTGTAGACTACGTGGCCGACCCCATCAACGGATTCAATGCTGTAGTCAAAAAAGAACCATTACATCATGTGACTCCTCTAGTTAGCCACGCCCCTGCTGTAGCTGTGGCGCATGCTCCCGCCCTAGCTGTCGCACATGCCCCATTAGCCATTGCCCATGCGCCTACGCCGTTGGCCTTGGCCCATGCACCATTAACGGTAAAAATTAGCATGTGCTGAAATTAGAGTTTTTAAGCATTTTTTCTTCATTCTAGCTCGCGCATGCTCCTACTTTAGCCCTAGACCACGCCCCACTAGCTTATAGCCACCTTCCATTGGCTTATAACCAAGCTTCAGTAGCGTATAGCCACGCCCCTATCACATTATCTAGAGGCATCAGTAGTTTGAGTCAAACGATTTTGCACTGAAGATGTATTCAAAAAAATAGCTAAAACGTCGTGGAACTGGACTGGATTATAGGTTTATTAACAGTTGCTCATCTATATTTATGTAAATATGCCATAATTTTTATTTAGGTAGAAATAAATGTATTTTTGTTTTTTATTTTAATTCCTGAAGTTTAATATCGGCTAAGGGCCAAATTATGGACCAACTGGTAAGTGTCTGGTTGTAACCTAGCAGGTACTTTCCATTATCCAGAGCATGGAAAGTACCTGCTAGGTAACAACCAGATGTTTACGAGTCAGTCCATAATTTGGCCCTAAATCAATTTCTCCTCTTTTAATAATTGACAGCTGTTAAATAACGTACACGACAAATGACAAACGGCATGTAGCTGAGCATCGGAATATGTAACAACTGTAGCCTAAATATGGGTTTTTCCTCCGATTTTTCCAGTCAATAAAATAGGTACAGGGTGATTGGTTATAAATGTCACCCCTTCTACCTTTTTCATTTGAATTTTTTTTTTTTTTTAAAACTCACTTTCACATAGGTAGGTAGGTATGCTGGGTTTTTCAGAAAAACTGGTCGTGGTCAAACTTTCCTATTGTAAATGAAATACCCTGTATATTATTAAATATCCTAATAATTCTACATAAAATTCTGAGCAGATTTCATTTGATATACCCTATAGGTACCCTAAGTTCAACTGTTTCGGAAATATTGACAGGCGATAATTGACTTTTTTTTTGCAAAAGTTGCCTTTTTTGATGCCCATTCAAGACTTGTTTACAGTGTTGCCAAATTCCTTTCAGATTACGAAATACAGGGTGATTTCTAAAAAGCGCCTAAAATTGGTTCATCAATTATTTCGAAAACTATTGATATTCGAGACACAATTTAAATTTGAAAGTTTTATAATTTTTTTTGCTCTACAACATGGCATTTTCAAATTTTTAACCCGACGTTTCGTGACCCAGCTACCATCATCAACTTCATTTTTTTTAATGTGGACCTGGATTTTTTTATGTCATTTTCAGAAAGGGAAATAAGGGCGCTTTCTGAAAATGACATAAAAAATCCAGGTCGGTATTTAAAAAAATGAAGTTGATGATGGTAGCTCGATCACGAAACGTCGGATTTGAAATTTGAAGATGCCATGTTGTAGAGCGAAACATTTTTATAAACTTTCAAATTCAAATTGTGTCTCGAAAATCAATTGTTTTTCAAATAACTGATAAAATATTTTTGGGCGTTTTTTTAGAAATCACCCCAAATTTGGCAACACTGTGAACGAGACGTAAATGGGCATCAAAAAAGGCGACTTTTTTTCTAATTTAACCACCCTTGTATCTCTTACCGTTTCGGATATAGCAATAGTGGTATCACTTAAAATATACACCCTGTATATATAAAAATCAAAGTTCGCGGGGTATCCGGATATGCACTCGAAAACCACTTATCTGATTACGATGAGACTTTGGTAGGTTGTTATGGCCATCCCAAGGAAGGTTTGTGGATAGGTTACGCATCTCGGAAAAAGAAATTAATTTTGAATTAATTATTAATTTAATTGTAAACAAACTCATTCACATTACATAACAACATAACCCAACTTTTTGACAGCATGAAACAACGTTGCCATATTTCATTTATCTAGGCTTGCATTCAACCAACGTAACTTTATTATTTTTTGAATTCAAGAATGGCTGGACCGATCTTGAATTAATACCACGTATCTCTATATAAGGTGAATTCGATTGACCCAGATTAGATCGATTTGGGTTCAATTTAAGTGAACTTCTTCTGATCTAGATCATTTTTTTGTTGATGAGGGTGCACTGATCCAGCTTGAATCGAACACAGTGTAGTTCACTTAAATTAAACCAGATCGATCTAATCCGGCCAATCGAATCGGCTATATAGGAGAGTGATATAGGCTATTTTTTATCCCGAAAAAAAAAAAAGTTCGGTTGCGTAAAACTCTGATACACTGGAACGCCTATAAACAGCCCGGGGCGCTCTAGAGCAGCTCTGGAGTGCTTTTAATGCGTCACTGAACTCACAAGCGACTATGATATCAAAATTTGAAAAGAAGTGTATTATTTCAAAATGTATTTACATGCTGGCAACGCAGCGGGTCATTAGCTAGTTTATTTATAATTTATAATGATAGATTAGATAAGTCAAAAATGGCTCACACAACTGTGATTAATATATATACAGGGTGTCTCACGAACATCAAAAGAGAGGCGTTTTAGGGTATTTTAAGGTCTATTAAAAAAAAAAACTCTCGGACACGTCATTTTTGTATTCAAGGAGGAGACCTTTTGACCCCATTGGTATTTCGTTAAGATGTACCCCCCTGGGTAGGGTAAATTTCACCCCTGTTTTTTAGATAGGGAAAATGGGTCGAGTGATACCTTGTTTTAAAGGTATTTTGATTCTCGTCATAACTGCGAGGGGTATTAGTTCTCAAGATATTCACTGTCAAAGTTGCCATGGGCTAAATAAGGAATAATCTTCTGATCCTGTTATTCTCAAATTAGCACTTTCCTGGCACAGTGAATATCTTGAGAACTGATCATTCGATTTTCAAAACGAATACGAAGTTGTGACAAGAATCAAGATATCTTTGAAACAAGGTACCGCTCGCCCCATCTTCCCTATCTAAAAGAGAGGTGAAAAAGTCACCCTGCCCAAGGTGAGCACCACCCTAGCGAAATACCGATTGGATCAAATCCCCCTTGAATACAAAAATGACGTGGTCATGCGTTTTTTTTTTTTTTTAAATTGACCTCAAAATACCCTGAAACACCTCTGTTTCGATGTTCATGAAACACATTGTATATGTATTTGGAATCAGGCAGAAAACATCTTTCATTTTATCGCATAATATACAGGGTGTTACATTAAAAAAAGTTGAAGTTGTCTCCTTGTTGTTCGTAGAGTTTAAATTATCTGAATTTCACGTTTCAAGCAATTATTTATTTAAATAATTGTACAAAGTTATAGAAACTTACAAAACATGTCAAGCATGTGTGTGTGTCAATAATAACAATCGTAAATTCGTAAATAATAATTTCATATATCAAAAACTTCTCTTCTTTTTTTTCTTCTGTCATATTCTTCTTTTCTTTATTGGGGACCGAGGACGGTTAGGAATGGGCTCCACGATTAGGAATGAGTTCCAATCGAAGGTGAGCCGCGGTTGCACGATACTGAACAGAGCCGACGACACAACACTGAACATACCGCCCCCCTTGAAAGCCCATAGGCTTTTAATAGTCTTGGTTGGGTATAATGGCTAGCTTGGTCACTGGACGCTTGAACACTCCAGTGGCTGTCTTGATAGATGCTGTGCGGATCACGCCATCTTCTCCTGGGAAAACTTCGGTCACTCTGCCGATTCGCCATTTCAAAGGTGGGAGTCCGTCTTCTTTACTGATGACAAGTATGCCTGGCTTCAACAATTGTGGATAATGCTGTTTCCACTTTGTGCGAATCTGAAGCTCGGTTATGTATTCCTTGGCCCCACGGGACCAAAAATGTTGGACCATCTGCTGCCGATGCTCGTAGATTGACAGTCTGTTTTCTGCAACTCCTAGCAGATTTGGTTGCGGAACTGTGGTAAGAGGCTCTCCAATCAGGAAGTGCGCAGGGGTAAGGGAATTAGGATCATTGGGGTTGTCAGAAAGTGGACATAAAGGTCTGGAATTCAGACAAGCCTCTATTTGGTTTAAAACAGTAATAAAATCTTCAAATGTTAAACATGAATTACCAATAACACGCTTTATATGGTACTTTACTGATTTCACATTGGATTCCCAAAGTCCCCCAAAGTGGGGTGCGCGAGGAGGTATGAAACTCCATTGTATACCAGAGTTCGCCAAACTATTTGAGATGGCAGAGGAGTCATGCTCAAGAAAAGCCTTGAGCTCATTATTAGTACCAACAAAGGTCGCACCTTGGTCTGAATATATCTGTGCGCATTTGCCCCTACGAGACATGAATCTGTACAAGGCAGCCAAAAAGCTCTCAGTAGTTAAATCACTTACAAGTTCTAAATGTAATGCCTTCGTGGCGAAACAAATGAATAAGGCTATGTAAGCCTTGGAAGTCTTAGAACCCCGCCCTTTGCGGTCTTTAAGAATGAAGGGACCGGCATAATCAACCCCTGAGACAGAAAATGGTCTAGATGGTGTTATGCGAGCCTTTGGTAAGTTACCCATAATGTATTGTGTGGATTTGGCATTAAAACGGAAGCAAATTGTGCAATTGTGATACACGCTTTTCACTAAATTTCTTCCACTAACTGGCCAATAACGTTCACGTAATGATGCAAGGGTTAATTGTGGTCCTGAATGTAGTAACTTGATGTGCTCGTGTTGAGCAATCAGAAGCGTAAGTCTGTGTTTAGGAGGTAATATGATAGGGTGTCTTTTTTGAAAATCGTAATCAGAATTTTGAAGGCGACCTCCAACTCGTATCACGTTGTTGGAATGATCAAAAAATGGATTCAAAGTCAAAAGTTTGGATTTATTAGAAATTTTATGCCCCTTCTGTAAAGCAGAGTATTCCTCAGGAAACGTTTCAGCTTGTACCATACTAATGAGAAAGTTAAGAGCATCAGTTATCTCTTGAGCAGATAGTTCACTTGTGACCTCAAGCCTCTCCTTAAGGTGAACTGTTGATTTTGACTTTAAGATCATCTTAAAACGCAATACGTACGCAACTATGCGAGAAATTTTGGTTAAACTAGAACGTTTGTCAATAAGAGTTAAAAAGTCATTGGATCTTTGTTCCTCCAAAGCTATATGAGCTGAAGAAACATTTCGCAACTCAGAAGTATCTTCCTTTGAAACATTGAAAACGTAATTTGGCCACTGATCTTCGGTATGACACAACCAAGGAGGGCCATGAAACCACAAGTCTGAATCCAATAATTTCAAGGGAGACAATCCTCTGGTGAGCATATCAGCTGGGTTGTCAGTAGTTTTAATATATCTCCATTCATCGTAGGTGG